TTATTTATCGTATTAATTATTTTGTAATTGAATACATTTTTTGATACCCAAGTCAAGATCCAGAACTATTTTCCAATCATGGAACCTAAAAAATCTTCCAGTAACACAATGGGCTCAAATGAGAGCTTCTCATTTTCCGGTGGGAACTTTTGAGCGAAAAAGTTCAGCAAGTCCAAATTTCAGAATTCCACGCTCGCCATGCTCCTGTCGACACATTTACAGGATTCAGTGACAAGTACAATTTCACTGTGTCATGTTTGATGCTGTTAACTTTTGGAGTTGGACGTGAGCAAGATCTGGAAATTTTTTAGAGTATGGAAATGTTCAGTTTCAATTCTTTCTATAATCCCTTGTTGGACTTCCAGCGCCATCGGTGTCGTTTGGACAATTGCATTCTACAGATGGTTGGGTATTCATGGTCAGAAAATGCCAAGGTTTGATTGAATAGACAATACAAAATAAATAAATCAAAATAAATTGCGAGCTATTATCAAAGAAATTATCAATAATTGAATCTAAGAATTAGGGAAAATTAGACAAGAAATAAATTAAAGACAAGTAAGATAATTATTAAATTTGAATCGAAACATCTTCTTTCACATAATAGTACAGTAGGAACAAGCATTCACAATTGTTCTCAAACATTCGTTTTGTTCATTCTGGGCTGGTGGAGCAGCAGGTACATTATGATTGACTTGTACGACTGGTTGATTTGCAATCACTTGATTGTTCTCAATAACCGGTTGGATTGGTTCACGAGGAGAGTCGACTTGAGGTTCTGTTGGCTGAAAATATTATTTTTGAAGCATGAACTCAAGTTCCAGGCATGTTAAAACTGGCAATTATTTTCATCTCATGGGAGAAGTGCACCCTAACCGTCAACTTTGAGCTCAATTATCTCGATTCCTAGGAAACATATCGAAAATTGGTCAACTTGTGAATTATTTATCATAATATAGCCAACATTTTATCAGTTGATAAATTTTTGATACCTCTCATAGGAACAGAGATATTTGACCTCAAAGTTGAAGATTTGGTGTTTGAGGGAGCATCGAATAGATGAAATACGCCAAAGGCGCCAAATTTACGGAATCATGAACTGTACTATTCGGAGGGAGCGCCATACCTGGTGGCCCACGGCTCCGAGTGGATCCGATATTCCTTCTGACACTGCTCTTCCAGAGTGGAGTTCTTGTCTGTTGGACGGTCCTGCTTGATCCTCTGATTTCACAAAATCTTTATTCTCGCGAACTGTTGACGGTGTCACTGGCGTTTGCGACCGTGGAGTTTCTGTCTGAAACTAAATTACTTAAAAGGACTGTTAAAAGATCCTACTTCTTCTGGTGGAGTTCTTGGTGCAGTCTTCAGTGAATCATCCGAAACAACACTCCCCATTGTTCCAGGTATTCTTTTTCTGTTTCTTTTCGTGGTTCTGGCTCGTTTGTAGCTTCCTGGAAATGTGCGAAATTCAGTATTCTAGAGTATTCAGAAAAATCTAGAACTCACATTATGATCCATCGGTTGACTAGGTCCCACATCGGTAGAAGAACTGGGTCTCGGAGTATCTCGATATGGTGCGACTTCATTGGAACGTCGTCGGATTATATCTGAGGCGGCCGAAGTTCGATTTCGATTTTCAGTTTGCGAAGCGGATTGATTTCTTCTTTGAAAGATCTTTTTATCTTTGTCGTTCGATGGGCCTGTCATCATGAAAACAGAAGCAATTTTTAGAAACAAGGTTATGAGAGATACAAGATGGAAATTCAATCTACGTTCAAAAGCTGGTTTTATAGAGGAAAAAAAAATGAAAAAACAAACACTTTTTAAGGGTTTCTATTTTCATATTTTTCAAAATAGGTCAAATGAAAAAATACATTTTGGGCGCGTATGGGGGAGATCAAAAAAAATTTTGTTGCAATCGAAAAGCAATTATTCAGTAAAAATTCAAAAATTAGAACTTTCTAGAAAAACAATTTGAATCTAGCTGCTATCAACGTAAAACGTTCCGAAAACACTCATCGAAAATTTGTCAGCTGATGAATTCAGCTGACGAACCAAAATGGTTCAGAAAATGTACCAGATGAATTTCTGACCATTTCTAGGTCAAAAAGATTGGTGGCCTAGAAAACTCATATTGCAAAAGTTAGGCCACCATGTTAAAATGGATTAAAACCCACCATGTTAACATCAGATCATTTTCAGGTCAAAAAGTTTGGTGGCCTAGAAAATTCGTGTTGGAAAAATTAGGCCACCAGGTCACATGGCCTAGAAAAGAAAAGATGAGATACGATTTTTTACAAGTAATTCCGGCGGTCAATAGCAACTTTTTGTCGATAATTTGTCGACAAATGCCCCCTTCGACAAATTTATCGACAAAGAAAACGACAAATTTATCGACAATTTGTCAACAAAATTTTGTCGATAAATTACTTTCGACAAATTTACCGATAATTTGTCGACAATTTATCGAAAAAAGTTTATCGTTTTTTATCGACAAATTTATCGATAATTTGTCAGGTAAATTTGTCGACAAAATCGGAAAATCTTTGTCGATAAGGCACACTGCTCTTATAGAAATTCAGATAATTGAGCTCAAAGTTTATGGTAGCCTTCTATTGGAGCGTTTACGGTAGTTTCGAAAAATCGCCGTTTTTTCAAGATTACAGAGATTTTGTTTAGTTTACATCATCTAAACAATTACGAGTTCTAATTCGTCTAGTTCTTGTCTGGCAGTAGTGCTATCCCAAAATCATATATCAAAAAAATCCAACACAAGTACCAGGCTACATCATTTATTGAGAATATTTTTATAAACGTTTTCAAACCACAACACTCATTTATTGTTTTTATTTGACCAGTGTTTTAAACGTTTCATTTTATTTAATAGCTTTTTTTACACTTAATATTCTCCCTGACCTGATAGTTGTTTAATTCCATTTTTAAGTTTTCTGTCTTTTACAAAGTTTCACCGAGGATACCACAAGGGATACCTCTTCTAACCCATTAATAACTGCAACACAAATACTTCGATACTCAACCGGACGAACCACGACAACCAGAAAGACCATGCCAAAAACTAGGACAACAACGACGCCGAATTCCGAAGAGGAAGCGAAAAACCGAAAAAAAAACCGCACGGGCCAGAAAATCAAAAAAGAAAGTTCACGAAGAGTCGACATCCTGCTGCTTTCCGATGCATCCTGATGACAACCTGTTGATTTGTCGTTTGTCATTCGGAATCTGAAATCTAACTAATTAACTTATATCAATTTTTTAAAATGTCAATGCAGTAAAAATTGATTTTCACGTGATTTTTCTCATAGTTACTTTAAAAATAAATCTCCAAACCCCTAACGAAAAATAGGTTTAGTCAAAAAAAAATCGCGTAAAAATTTTTGAAAATTGATGAAAAATATTTCAGGGACAATTTTGTTTACTTGACTTTGGATGTTCTGACCCGAGAAAATTTCTGAACTTTACTATTTCCCACTTTCTTACCTTTATTTGATGTTGCCTTTCCTGTCATCTGAATTCCCTTCATGATAGTCCCGAAAACTGTCCTGAAGATATCTTGGCAGTCTTCGAAGTTTGGGCATTTCTAACACCAGCAGCTCCTGGAATTTTAACGTTTTCGAGAAGGTGTTTATAAAAAGATTTCAAAGGACATGTTTAAAATGAGAAATCCATCATGAAAACAGGATTTCCGAATTTTCAAGAAACAGGACCCGCAAATTTAAAAATTTTCCGAAATCCCATTTCCTCACCTTTCGCTACTCCTGTCATCCGGAGTATCCTGCTGATCCCGGAAGCTCCCGGAAGCGGACAAGAAAACAAAACATATCAAAAAAAAATTTCACGAATTTTTGACGTCCTGACGTTCCTGATGGCATTGTAATAACATCATGATGATTTCTTCATTAACATTCGAAATCTGAAATGTAACTAATTGTTTTAGCAATTTTCATTTTTGTTACCTTATCGAATTTGCATCAGAGTTTCTGAAATCTTTCTGCAACTGACGTGGAAGGCGTGACTGTTGGTCAACCTGAAATTACTATTTTCAAAAAAAAAATATAAAAAAAGTGCCACTTAAATGTTCGATTTTTACGTGATTTTTTTCTTAAAAATAGGCTTAGGTCAAAAAAATCACGTGAACATCAAAAATTTTAGTGGCACCTCACAACTCATATAGCCCCATGTTTTCCTACGAATTTTGGCAATTTTTGATCAGTTTTCAAAAAGTTACAACTAGCCTTTAGGATGTTCTAACCCGAGAAAACTTTCAAACTTTACTGATTTCCATTTCCTCACCTTTCATCATATTTTGCCACTCCTGTGGCCTGAATTCCAATCCTGTTGAACACCGAAACTGTCCCGTTTTCAAAACCTTCGAAGTTTCTCCACCCGGAAGGCCAAGCAGCTTCTGGAACACTAACATTGAAAACTAAAAACTAAATTTTTTCTTATCTTCAGTCTGCCGATCCTGGAATTGCCCTGGAATCTGTGCTAGAAGTCTTCGTAGTTCCTGCATCTAAGAAATAAAGGCCCCTAAACTTGAACGTTGTAAACTGAGTACTAATTTTCCCTTATTTTTCTAACTACTGAACATTGCCCCCATTTTTTAGGATTTCACGGAGGTCACATTAAACTGACACTGAGTTCACGAGAAATATCAAATACCTAAAAACCTGTAATAGAAGGGTCCGTTAACTTCTAACTTTGAGCCAATATTTCTCTTCTCCTGTCAAAGATATAAAAAAGTTGTCAACTGATAAATTATTTGTCAAAATATCATAAGTGTTTTGTAAGTTGACACATTTTTGATATCTTGCATAGGAATTGAGATAATTCATCTCAAACTTGGCAGTTCTATTCAAGGTGTACGGTATGTGAAAAGGTTTGCTCTAGCTGGTTATTTTAGTCCTAAGTTTTTGAATATTCTCACATTTAGTAAGTAAATCCGTCTCGAGAGCACTGGCGTTCGGGAAGAACGAGAATTCTTGCAAGTCTTGCAAGAAATTTTCGGGACTCACCTCGTCTTATCTCGTATAAATGCTTGTCTCGTCTCGTTCTAAATGCTCGCAATTTATCGTTTCACGTGCAAGACGCGCATTTTTCATGCGAGTCTTGCAAGTCTCGCAATTTGTCTCGCATAATAGAGTAGCTGGAAATAGAAACATGGAACAAACTTAAAACATGTGAAAATTTTTGTGAAAAGTACAGTACAGCCACATATGTCCAGAATGACTTTTAAAATACGGAATCCGGAAAAATCGATACATCACGGCATCAAACTGTCAATGTCATAAATATCAATGTCAATGTAAGAAATACCAGGAATAACTTTTTTGAGAAACGGAATCCGGAATAAAATTCTGGATTCCGGGTTCCGGGCCTGATTACATATTCCTGGTTTCCGGATTCCTGGTTTCCGGATTCTGAATTCCTGGTTTCCAGATTCCGGATTCCGGATTCCGTGAAATTTTTATTTGTCCGGATTCCGGATTATGGATTCCGAGAAAATTGTTTCATTGCGGATTCCGTTTGTCAGAAAAGTTATTCCTGATATTCTTTATATTGACATTGATATTTCTGACATTGACATTTTGGTTCCGTGAAGTATCGATTTTTCCGGATTCTGTTATTTAAAAGCCATTCTGGACATATCTGGCTTTACTGTACTTTTCACAAAAATTTTCACATGTTTTGGATAAGTTTGTTCCAAGTTATGAACGTTACTATTTCCGGCTACTCTTCTATGCAAGACAAATTGCGCGACTTGCAAGACTCGCATGAAAAATGCGAGTCTTGCACGTGAAACGAGAAATTGCGAGCATTTGCGAGAACGATACGAGCCAAGCATTTGTGCGAGACGAGACGAGACGACGCAAGACAAGACAAAAGCGAGAAATTGCGAGTCTTGCAAGAAATTTCTCGCGAGACGAAACTCTAATATTTACAAAGGACTAAAAAATCGTGAACCCAAAAATATTCTATAGTGAGTACCAAAATAACCAACTAGAGCCAGAAGTTTTGATTTCAGAATCAATACTATTTTTCGGCAAAAAATTCGGGGGTACAAGGGGGTACAACTGATTTAGGGGTACAAAATTGGTGATTGGGGGGTACAAAATTCGGCTCTTTATGACAAGGGGGGGGGGCCCATGAGAAAAAGGGGGCCCAAGCGAAAAGGGGGGGGGGGCATGANAAAAGGGGGGGGGGCCCAAGTCAAAAGGGGGGGGGGGGGCTCAAGTGGAAAAATGTGAACTAAGTTAAGATTTACCAATTTTTTCAAGTTTTTCGAATGTTTCTATAAAAAATTTGGTACTTTGCGCATGTTTCCAAAAAAATTTGTAACTTCAAACAATTTCAGTTTAGGCCGGTTTTTTTGCATAAACAACACTATTTTTTACATTGTAACTGTGTAATTTGGAGTTAATCAGCTAGTTTCAGATTTTTTCAGGCTTAGTAACAAAAAAATAGACAAAAAATATGCAAAAAATGATATAAACTGAAATTTTCAAAAAATTATGAAAAGTGTTCAAAGTTTGAAATTTTAATGGAAACGGTCACAAAACTTGAAAAAATCGGTAAATATCAACTCAGGCATATTTTTTCCACTTGGGCCCCTCCTTTTGACTTGCCCCCCCCCCCTTTTCTCATGGGCCCCCCTTGTCATAAAGAGCCCAAAATTCGTGGGTACAAAAATTCGGGGGTACAACGATTCGGGGGAACAAACTATCAATGATTCTGAGGTGCAACCCATTTCATTTAGGGGTACAACGCTTGTGGTTCGAGGGTACAATATTTTTTGAGAGAGTTTCTGAATTCCTGAATTTCAGAGCTTGAAAATCTCAGAATTCTTAGAATTTCAAAACTTTGGAATTCCAGTATTTCGAAATATGAAAATTTCGGAACTTCAAAATCGGAGAATCTGAAAATTTCCGAATTTCAGAATCTCAGAACTTCAGAACTTCGAAATCTCAGAATTTGAGAACTTCAAAATTTCAGAATTTCAGAACTTTGGAATTCCAGAATTCGGAATCTGAGAATTTCGGAACTTCAGGATCTGAGAATCTGAGAATTTCAGAACTTTGGAATTTCAGTGTTTCGGCATCTGGGAATTTAGGACGACAGAAATTTTTCACTTCTCATTGTCACATTGTTCTTTTTGAAAATGGAGAACTGTAAAATAAGCTTGACAAGTTTTACAAACTCAGGTTTTTAATGCTTAATTTAGGATTAAAACCCAGCCGATACTTTCCTCAATATCAATTTTTCTCAATTCTATTTCATTTCTCTTTGTTTCTCAATATTCCTTCGTTTTTACCCCAGTTTTCCGGTTTTTTTCCCAATTTTTCTCAATTTTCCTCAGGAATTCAGAAACTCCCTCAAAAAAAATTGTACCCCCGAACCACAAGCGTTGTACCCCTAAATGAAATGGGTTGTACCCCAGAATCTTTGACGATGCCCAACATTGTCTACAATTTTTTTTTTCATGAAGAGTGAAAAATATGATAAAAAATCAGAAAGAACAATGTGAAAAATATGATAAAAAATCAGAAGAACAATGTCGGAAATTCTCAGATTCTCAGATTTTGAAGTTCCGAAATTTTCAGATTCCGAAATACTGGAATTCCAAAGTTCTGAAATTCTAAGAATTCTGATATTTTCAAGCTCTGAAATTCAGGAATTCAATTCAGCTTGTACCCCCCGAATCATTGTACCCCCCGAATTTTCGCCTATTTTCCAACTACCAATTTCAAAATGATATACTGATTCGAAACAACGAAAATCACTATTTAAGAATGTCAGTTCAGAATTTTCATCTAAAAAAAGTTCCAAAAATTTTGAGACCGCCACTTGAAGTCAAAAGAGAACCATAATCGTTCGCGATCTATTCTCTCTGGCTAACTTTTTCATTTTTAATGCTTACGTGATTTTCTGAAAGTTTTCGGACAATTCCCATTTTGCAGACACCCTTTTGTTTTTCACATATCTCACTGAACCCCTCGTTGATAATGCGTTGTCTACAGAGTGTCAAAAGTTATGCAATCTAACACCATCTAAAAATCACACGCCTTTCTTTTTCTCTTCTCCTTCTTGTTCCTCCTCTTGTATATCTTTCTCGTGTCTTGTATTTGATTTATCACTCTCTAATATTCTGATACTGTAAAAGAATTTGTTGAAAAAAGATTCAGATGAGAAGAAGACGACGACGTCGTCATATTATCATCACGTTGCCTGCAAGACACACGGTCAGAGGCAACAGGGCGAAGTACAACTTGTTCCGCCCTTCACTTTTCAATTTCTCATTTGGGCAATTATGACTACACATCCCTCTCTGCTGTTCAATGTAAACAGGAAGCTAGACATCCACGTGGGAGAGGAAACAGTTTATCAGTGACGTCATCAGGGCTTAGATTCTGAATCTTGCAACGTCATTGGTTTTCTGGAGACAGACATCATCATCGTAAATTGTCTTTTGACCAGAGAGCAAAGTTGAGTACACATCCGAAGACAATTTGTACTTGAATATGGGTACATCAAGATTATAGTCGTAGTGGAGGCGTTCACCCGTACCGTACTTTAGTGGAAGAGGCAGGACACAAAGAAGAAAAAGACGTTCTGATGTTCGATGGACAAGACATCAATAATTTGTTATTCTAGCCAGATCAAACATCTGTTGTTTTGCAGCTTGTGATAATAAACAGTTTTTTATAGGTTCATAATAATGTTTCAAGTTTCGCCGAAAGTGAAAATCGATGTACAGATTGAAATGGATCAGAGAATTGTGAACATTTGTCCGAGAAATGAACATTTTGAAATGAAAATTTCTGTGTGCGGAAGTACTTCTATCATTCTAAAATTGAAGAAATTGGAATTATCGGACCAAGGTGTCCTTTGGGGTTGACTAATTACCGTAAAACCGCTAATCTACACTGTCAAGTTTGAGCTCAATTATCTCAATTCCTATGCAAGATATTAAAAATGTGTCAACTGAAAAATTATTTATGATATTATAATGAACAATTTATCAGTTGACAACTTTTTGATATCTTTCACAGGGATCGAGATATATTGGCTGAAAGTTAGAAGTTAGAAGGTCCTTATATTACAAGTTTTACGGTAATCAAAACTAAATTCTATCAAACATTTTCAGATTTTCCCTGAAAACTGTTTTTTGAACTTTAAGAATCTAAGCCATATTTGGAAAAGACACGGATCGTTCACTTTGAAAAATTCCAGAAATTTAGTTTTCAATTTTTTTTCTGGCTCAGAAAACTTCAATTTCGGACTGGACCATCCCTTGTATCGGGTTCAAACACACAGTACATTAACAATGATTGACTGAAATCGCAGGAAAATATTTTCTCATCGAAATCGATTTTTTAAAAATTTATGTCCAGAATTCGAATTTAAGTGCATTTTGTCATCAACTTCATTTTTGGCTTAAAACACCGAATTTGAAGAAAAAAATGCACAGAAATTCAAATTTCTAGTTATTTTTACCCTGAAATTCCAGGTTTTTTAAATGAATTTTCTTCAAAAAAATGTGCATCTACCGGAACCCAATCTTCAGAAGAACCACCAAACATCACGATTTGTGTCTACCGTAATCCTTTGATTCTTCTCATTTCAGTGAAACCATAAATTTAATCGCTTTTAATGACCCCGACTTCTGTCATCAAGACCTATCTCTCCAAATCTCAATTTTTGCAAAAACTGGAAGCGATCTTTGTAGTTTTCGTGGATTCTTATTTTTTTCCCATTTCAGCATACTTTTTTAACACAAGAGGAACACTTGTAGTCTTTGTTTTCCTTGAAAAAAAGTCAATGAAGACGTCGTCATGGAGTGTTTGAGAGTGATGAGAGTCATAGAGACAATATTTATGATCGTCATCTTCTTCTCTGTGATTAGGAGGTCGACTTGTTCGATATTATCATTGACGAATAGGCAAGGAAGAGGGAGAGAGGGGGCTAACTAACCAAAAACGACCGATCTCCATGTCTTCTGTCTCTCATCTCTAACCTCTTCAAGACACTGATAACAGTAGCACAAGGAAGGGGTGGAGTGAAACAGAAGAAGAAGTACCAGAAGGCGTGTCATCAATTCAAAAAATAAGTAAAAACGTCACAGGACGCTATCAGCGCTCACCGAACCCAATCTCTCGACGGTATATCCTCAATCGCAATGTGTTTATAACCCATTGCTCATTCTCCACTTTCACCTTCACCCGGTTTTTGAATTCAAAGTCTTGACGACTGAACTGTGCACTGTGCATTCTTTAACACATTCTTTAACCTGTTAAAATGAGTGCTCTCATTGACTTGTTCGCAGGTTCTCTTGGAGGTTCGTTTGGTAAAAAAAAGGTTGAATCAAAACTTGATAATCCTTGTTGCTCCTCAATTACCGTAAACACTCAATTAAAAGCCCACCCTATACTTTGACTTTGAGTTCAATTATCTTAATTTTTCAAAAAGATAACGAAAAGTCGTCAACTGATAAATTGTTCATCATAATATTAGAATTATTTTTCCAGTTGACACATTTTTGATATCTTGCATAGGAGGCAAGAAAAATGAGCTCACACTTGACAGTGTGGGGGCCCTATTAGAGGCTTTACGGTATGTCAACTTTGTCGAATAATATCGAAATTCTGTTAAGAACCGATATATCCGGACAAATCAAAAATCATGATCTAGTCTGTAAAAGAAAAACAAGTTCTGAATTCGATTGGAGTGACCAGCGTTTTTGAAAAATTAGGGTTAGACATTCTATACAGTTTTTAAGCTTCTAATTTTTCACAGATTTATATTTTTGTGGCATTTGCGAAAATAATTGAGGTCCATACTTGTCCATTAACTGTCCGGCGGGCAAAAGAAATTCTTCCGTCAGCTGATGTTTAGAAAACGCCTCAAAAATTCATTGAACTCAAATGGCGGATTCCTCGTACACGAATTCCTGCTTTGTTAAGGTACTTCACCCTAATGCTAACTTCAGAAGTTCAAAAACTTTCAGAACTTTCGGCTCACAACAATAATAGTTTTCACCTTTACTCTTTGATCTCATCCCTCTTGAAATACCATCTCTCTTTTCAAAAGTTGCGACTATCTCCTCCACACGGTTCTCAAGAAAATCTGTCAAATCATATCTTAATCACCTCCCATTTTCCATTTCTATATCGACTAGAAGTTTATCTCGTAATCAGACCATTTTTCTCCTATTCGAGAAAGTTCTTTTTCCCTTGAACCGAATGGGAGTGGTGAAACAGTAAAATAAGATTGATATATCAGTATATGTATGTAAGTATTGGGCAAGAGCGAACAGATTGAGATACACCACCACGTGATAGTTAGACACTTAATGACACCTCGGGACAAGATTTAGGATGTCATGCATAGAACATTTTTTGATTTTGAAATACCAAAAACCCTGTTATAGACGGGCCCCCACACTGTCAAGTTTGAGCAAGTTTATATTGGTTCCTGTAAAAGATATAAAAAATATTTCTACTGACTAAACACTTCTGATATTATGATAAACAATTTATCAGTTGATAACTTTTTCCTATTTTTTGACAGAAACTGATATAAAATGACTCAAAGATAAAAGTAAAAGGACCCTTCTATTACAGGTTTTTCGGTAGTTCATATTGTCATAACCATCACAATTATGTGATATCAAAAAAGAACTTTTTCCAGGAGCCGCTGGAGTCCTTGCCGGACATCCACTGGACACTGTCAAGGTTCGGCTCCAAACCCAGCATGGTCCGAATCCACAGTACCGTGGCACATTCCACTGTTTCAAGACGATTGTTCAGAAGGAGGGCTTCCGTGGTCTCTACAAAGGTGAGTGTCACTACATTTCATCTTATTTGGCAACAGTTGAAAATATTGGACACAAAACAAACGACGACTGATTGCGCTTTCTTCTCTTTCCTTGTGTCGCCGACAAATCACCACAATCCGTCGACGAAAGAAAGAAAGACAGAAAAGCGCCCCCGAGACGTGCGACGATATGGGTCCTGTCACTGTTGTAAATCTTCCTAAACCCTTCCCTCTTGATCTCAAATCTCAAATCAGAAAGAGTCATAGCAAAAGGAATGAGGGACTAGAGAATATTTTCAGGAATGTCATCTCCACTTCTCTCCCTATCTGCAATCAATGCAATTGTATTCGGAGTCCACGGTGGAACTTGTAGACAAATGGATGAACCAGACTCAATAACATCTCATTTTGTGGGCGGAGCTGCCGCTGGAATGGCTCAGAGTGTGATCGCAGCGCCAACGGAAAGAGTCAAGCTACTCCTGCAGATTCAGGATGATAAAGCACTAAAGAAATATAAGGGACCAGTTGATGCTACGAGGCAGTTGATAAGGACTCATGGATTGAAATCTATGAACAGGTAGAGACTTGCTATCACTGTAATGTTAGAAAGTTTTGGATATACCGTACTGCTTCCAATATAATACCATCCAAACTGTCAACTTTGAGCTCAATTATCTCGATTCCTGCGAAAGATATCAAAAATGTCCGAGACCGAGATAATTGAACTCAAAGTCTAGATATAGGGGGCCATCAATTAGACCATTTACGGTATCCTTACCGTTACTGCATCTAGGAACAAAAAAAATCAAAAGTTGTAATTTTGATAACCTTTCGAAGTACATCTATTTTTAACCTCAACTGTCCATCAACTTGTCATATCATTTTGACCACATCCACACCCTCTCCCGTTCATTTTGATCTAAAAAATTGTCACATGACTTCCTTCACCATTGTTTTCGTATTCCAACTGATCCCTAAAAGTTATGACACCATCAACGTCATCATAAATTGTTCTTCTTATTTCAGAGGATTCCTAGCCACTGTTGCCCGCGATGCTCCAGCATTCGGTGTATATTTCGCGTCTTATGAATGGATGACAAGAGCAATGTGCAACGGGAAAACTGAAAATCTTACTAGTGCTCAACTTCTGTTGGCTGGTGGATCAGCTGGAATGTTCTCCTGGCTCTTCAATTACCCAACTGATATTGTCAAGTCCAGATTCCAAGCAGATCATTCGTACAGATCCTATTGGCATTGTATCCAATCCACGTATGCTGAAAGAGGATTCCGAGCATTCTTCGTTGGTCTCAATTCTGCACTTATCAGGTTGGAAAAAGTTTCCGTTTCAAAAATATTAGAATCAAAGTTTGGAAAATCAGGGCCCAACCTGGATTGGTGGGTCCCGAACTTTTCAAAATAATTCTGTTTCAAAAATCGTTGAATTAAAATTTCAGAAAGTCTAAAACTAATTCTATAATTGGATCATATTCTCAATTTCCAGAGCCTTCCCCTCAAACGCTGCCACATTCTTCACCGTCGAATGGACGTATCGCCTTCTTCTCGACTTCAATCTTCTCAGCAACGTCACCAAAGAAGCTGAAAAAATCTGTGCTGAAAGTCAACTCCTCCCGGTGAGTAGCATCTTTAATTCTTTTCTTTAACTAATGCTAACTCCGTGCCTTAGTTGCTAACTTCGCTACCTAAAAAAGAAAACCCATTTTGTTTTCCAGTTGGATGAATTGTCATTCTCCTTCATGATACTGTAATTGGAAGCATTCAATAGCCGGAAGCATTCAACACTGACAAGAAATAACCATGACCAATATCTGATATCTTGCCTGACCCCTAGAAATCAGTAGGTTTCGTTTTATATGTCAGTGTTGTTTTGGTTTTGTGCTCATTTAGCTGCTTCTTGTTTTAGAACTTTAACTAACTGAATCTAAAAGCTGCTTTGGTCCCAAACTAAAATTGAGCAAATTTTTTTTCATCGAACTTTCTAGATAGACACCATAAGACCAAGGAAACAAAACCTTCGTACTGTAAATTCTCTAAAAGAAGCCCACTTTATAATCGATCTTTGAGCTCAATTATCTCGGTTCTTTGGTGAGGTATCAAAAAGTTGTCAACAGATAAAATTTTTATGATAATATGTGAAACATTTTGTCAGTTGACCACTTTTTCATATCTTTCATGGGAAACGAGATAATTGAGCTTAACGTGCATGTATAGCGTGGGCTTCTATGAGAGCTTTTACAGTAACTCGATTTCTGTCTTTTTTTTTAAGTTCGCGGTCAGCCAACTGATCTTTGTCTTTATGTATCGCTTCTGTTCCCCTTATCTCTTATCAGTTCTTTTTTTTACCAAGTACCGTAAACTGGCAATTAACAATTCGCCTTTTTTTTCGTTGATTCTTCTCGATTTCCGTTTCAAAATTTCGAGTAATTTCAGCTCACTCCTGTATCTCCATCACCCTCGCGTAAAGAAACCGAAAAGACATTGCTCGTTACTTCACAAGAGGTACTTATAGGGGTCACTTTGGCGAAATAGAAGCTTTAAGATTTAAAAAAAATCGATTTTGTGGGCGAAAATAAGGCTGTCGTTGAGCTTTTAATATCATCAAATACGGCAAAAGCTTCACATTGAACTGTCGAGTCTTTCGGTTTTATACCTGCATTCCATCTGAAAAAGCGTTTGATTTTAAAATCAAAAAATCGATTCTGAGCGGAAAATTCAAGTTTCGAGCGCTTTTATTGAGCAATTCAAGTTCGAACTTTTCAAAAATCAATGGCATTAAAAATAAATCAGTTTTTTCCAGAAATGCAAACGTCTTCTAACTCAAACCGACTTCTGGGCCACCAACAATCACTTCTTGCTGCCAGAAGCCGGCTCCACTATCGTCGATCCGATGCTTCATGGATATCGATTTTTCTGAATCCTCTTCTCTTTTGTAGTGATTCTTTTCTGCCGTTAACCTCTTCGGAGAGTTATTCTGATAGATCCGCTTTGTCTGAGGTCGGCTACACGGGTTCATGTTCAACGAATCATCCAAAAAAATCTCGAAATGTGCCGACCTCTGATCTCAACTGTATCCAGCGATACCGGTTTTGGCTAGATTTGCTTCTTTTTGAATTTTTTTGTGTAGAAATCCCAACGGGTACCTATTTAGACTTGTTCGCAATCTAGGAACATGACAATAAATGCCTTTTTCCTTATCAGATGATGTTCCCGAGGCAGAAATGTCCATCATAAACTTTCTGCAGAAAAAAAGAATTCTCAACCGAAATTTTCATAAGCAGCAACATAAATAAGCAATTTTTGGGGGTATAATGATTGGCAAAAAAACGGAAAATATGAAAATTACCAGTATGGACGGAAAAAAAGAACGTAAAACAAGGAGCAGGGACAGACAGAGAATTCGATGTAAGTATGTCAAATTGAACACGAAAAGTAAAACTGTACACAAAAAGTATGTCAAATTGAACACAAAATAAAAATCTCCGATAGCGTGTGTAAAGCGATATTTAAAGTACAATATGAGACAACAAATACAGCTGTGTGTGAGGTCTGAAGCTCGGATAGAAAGCAAATGAGTGATAAGGGAAGAATGTGTAGAAAGCGAGTAGTATGAAAAAAAATGGAACAAGAATAATAAAGCTCTTGAGGATCTGGGAGAGAACTGTATGTACCTGAAGTGGAAAAAGGGGGAAAAGCTTGGTACTTGGCAGGACACGAGGATAAAAAAGAGATAATACTAGATATAGAAGTGATTACAATTACATGGAAAGTACAGTATCAGTGCCAAGGAAACTAGCTGTTCGGCTGGCAATCGACGCTGTGTCGATGTCATGGAGTGACCATTCTCCTCCGCGACCCTGGAATATTTTTGAGATTGAATTTCCAGTTAAGAGGAAAGATAGCCCACCTTGACTCTCAATTCCATATCATGGAACTGTTTCAACGAGTAACGATGTCCAACAGACACAAATGTGATCTTCTCCTCTTGCAACTTCCGATAAATTGCCATTTCCAATTCGAACCCGATAGCTGATGTGGATTCATCGAGGAACACAATTCGTGGCTTCTGATAAAACACTCTCGCCAACGACAACCGTTGAAGCTCTCCAGGCGATAACGTCTTCATCCAATCCCATTCGACTGGCGTATCAAGACCTCCACATCTCTCGATGAGATGCTCCATTTTGACCCATTCGAGGATCTGGGAGATTCTGGAGACATCTTTATCGACTTGCAACGCCTTCACAGGATAGACAATTTGTTGTCGGAGAGTTGTGTTGCCAGATGGGAAATATGGTTTTTGAGCCAGGAAGAATAGATTGGATGTAAGGCGGCGCCAATGGCAGTCCATTTTTCCTGATGAGCAATGCCAGAGACCGGCAAACATTCGGAGGAGAGAAGACTTTCCGGATCCACTGTCACCAGTAATCAATAACGTTTGACCTTGAATGATTTGAAGGGAAAGCACTGAAAAAATACAATTCTTCACATATCAATCTGAATCTAAACTTCTTACATTGCACGATCAAATGACTATGATCATTTGGCGGCGAAAGTGTTGCCGAGTCTACCGTAATCGCCACTCCGTCATCCGGCCATTCATCGTCCGCATTCGTTTTCCCACCCAACAGATACTGCGCCTCTTCCTCTTCTTGCTCATCTCTCTCCAACGACATTTGCTTTCCGTGGATCTCTTGCATGTGTCGTGTCGCCGACTTGTCGTCCTCATCAGAAGCAATGACGACTACAGACGATGGTACGGTGGATGGAGGGCGATCTGTCTCGAGGCAGTCCGAGTGGAGGCGATTCAGCTCTTCGTGAAGCTCCATCACACGATGCGTGACTCCAGCAAGTTCTCCAAAATCGCCGGCAAGCTTGAGGACTGTCGAGAAGCTGTAGATGAGGTAGAGGTAGAAGAAGGCATTCTGAAAGATTATTTTTCATTTTTCAAATAGCCCATGCTTCTCCAAATCTAGCTTTCTCCCTTTTTATGATCCCAGATCTCAGCTAGCTTTCCTTCTTTTCTCTATTCCCAGAAAGAATAAAGACCCGGGCAGATGGGCTCCAGATAGTCAAGAAGGGGGAAAGTGATTAATTAGTTTGTGGTGGGACGACAATAAAAGAAAGCGGAGGACTGACGAATTGTTGGTCCAATTTGAAAGAGTAGCAAGCCAAAAGTTGTCCCAATTTTCTCGAATTGATCAATTTTTGATGGATTGGAAGAAGTGTTCGTTAGTGCTGAACATTCTAAACGAAGAAAAAACTACTGCAAATTCCCTAGAGATCTTTCTTTCCAAAGTAAGACTCCTTTCTCTTCAAATTAAGATGTATTTTCTAAATTCCAAAGTTCTTTTCCATCAGCGAAATCGCTGGGGAGTTGTTTTCTTTGTGCTATTCTTTTCGTTTAATCATCATTCATTTGAGAAAAAAAAAGAAATTGATGAGATCACAAAGAGTCAGCTGACTTCTCCACCAGTTGTTCAATCCCAAGCCCCCAATTCTTTTCATTCTTTTCTCAAGCTGCTCTATCTGGCAAAAAGGAAGGAAGGAGACGAAAAAGGAGTGCCGATTGTGTTTGTTGCCTTGTGACTCTGTGAACTGAACGACCATCTGCCAGTACTCTCTTCCGGGGCGACGACACTTGAAGAAAATCAAAGAGCAACGACAAGAGATACATTCGATTAGAATGATCCTAGAAGACGTGCTTTTTCAGATCCCAATCTGTGGTAAGAAACACCAAGGATTCCTCGAAGTCATCAGAAATCGAAGAGAGACGAGAAGTTCACTTTTTGCAGGAGGGGTATCGCATTTCTTGTCTATTCTAAACTCTAAACTTTCATGTAAACTGATATTTTGATTCCAATTTTTTGTTATTGTTATAAAGCAAAGTGCAATTTGGTTCTACACACACAAAGAACGGCTCCTGGACGTTTCAGGACATTTCTGCATTTTTGGCGTAGTAGTTTTTGCACACAACATTCATGAGTATTGTTTCAATTTGTTTTTTTTCTGCTTTTCTATTCGTTATCTTCAACCGTACTCCAAATAATAATAGGTTCACACTCGGAAACTCGAAAACTCTCAGAAGATCGAAAAAAAATTGAACATTTCAAAGACTGTATCTAAAAGAACGCAAAAAACTTTCGAGGGCGAATATAAGTTTGATATTTTTGCATATTTTGATACAGTTTTTGAAATTTTCAACTTATTTTTTCGATTTTTAAGAGTTTCCGAGTGCGAACCTATCATTATTTGAAGTAAAACGATTTGAAATGAGCAGCACTCATTCGGTGTGCAAAAAGCACTACGCAAAAATGCAGAAAAGTTCTGAAACATCGGGTTCTGAAATGGTGGTTTCTGAAACGTCCAGGAGCCCAAAGAACGAGAAACTCCGGGAGAATGACTCAACTAGCGGAACCAAAAAATCTGCTTTTGATTTGCTCACTCCCAATGTTCACTAGTTACTATCACGACCAGATGTCGTTCGTTCGAAGTAAAAAAGTGAAAAAAAACCGCCGGCACGGAATTAATATGTCCACTTCTTCTCTCCGACACTTTGGTCACCTCTTGTTCGGAATGAAGAGAACAACCGGAAAAACAATCTTTTTGGGGATTGGACGGATAAATGGCATCTATTATTGATGCCTAATACAATCGAGAGAGAGAGATGCGTCCGTCGCCAAAATTGAGTCAATCAACCGAGATTTTTTTGTGACGAGAGTCTGATCGAGAGTCAAAAAAAAGAAAGAATAGGAATGGAGAGCAAGAAATGTAGAGCGAAGGAATACCAGGAAACTCAATGGAAGTACTGCCGAATAGAAATTGAATAGAAGGATCCTTGCAAAAGGAAAACTCGCTGGGAAATTAGATTTTCGTAGTTTCTTGTACTTTTAGGAATCAATAAAAAAGCCTAACAAAGAACCTCAACACCTTGGGACCCCAGATTTTTATGAAAATCTCAGGAGAGGTTAGGAAATCCGCTCGCCAGTTTCAGCCAAGTTCTAAGCAACACATAACAAATGTTGTATTTTGAAATGTTCTAGAAGTTGAGAAAATTGATATTTTGCACTGAAAAAACCCTGATTTTTGTACTGAAACTGATATAACTCGGCTAAAATTGGCGAGCGGATTCTAAAAGTTTCGGAAGAGTCTAGAAAGGCTTTTCTTAACATATTCTTAGATTTCCATCAAAATCTTCCCTGTAAAGACTGAAAATGCGACCCCGTTCGAAATATAATCCTCACCCGACAATAGATCCCATTATCAGAAGCTTTTTCGTTTAATCTTTTTCTATATCATTCACTGCCAACATAACTTTTTTCTGCGTCTTATCAGTATCCGATAACCTGTCAGTCAAACATCGATGATCAAATTTCGAGCTTTGCACGTTTGCAATTTCTTTAAAAAAAAGAAGAACATACCCTCGAAACGATTCCGTTCAATTCGGCGGGCGTAACGTCGTCATAGAGATGAGAAATGAAGACAGGGACACCGATGATAAGATAAGAGAGAATGCCGCCAAAGTAATCGAAAATGTTGGTGATTCCGTTCAGAAGCATTCTCCACTCCGTCAACGACTTCTGTGTGAGAATCAGGGACTTCAGCTTCTGATTCGTCATGATATTCTCCAAAACTCCAGCTCTATAGAATGCAATAGCCTCGACATTAGATCGAACTTCCATGTGTCTCTGTCGGAAATCTCCCTCCATTTTCTCTTGTTCCGACACTTTCTGCACAATTGGAGATAGTACCATTTTGTTGATAATCGTTTGAATAACAAAGTAGGAGTAGATCGCTGCAGGACCAATCCATCCGGAGCTATCGTATGTGAGCCACGTGTAATATCCAATGATGAATGGAGCAGTCACTACTGGAGCTAGGAGATCGTTGGAGAGGATTCGTGTGGCTTTTTCGATGTCTTGAGTGAGACGTTGGTCACTGGAAGTTTAAAAAATTCCAAAAATTGGGGATTAAGAATAACTTACGGATTATCCAGCATATCTCCTGATGAAGAAAGTTTGTAGAACGCTTGTCTTTTAAAATATAACCTGTGCATTGTCAAGTTACAAACTTGTCTGCTTCTAATAGCGAGCATGTTGGTGAGATATTTGAAGACAGCCAATGTCTGAAATTATTATTTTTCGATCAAGTTTTTATTTTCATTGAATAAGAATACTTACAAATGCTTTTCCAATAATAATTGCTGCTCCTCTGGCACACAGCGTCTTGAATGTGTCAAGATCTCGATTACCTAATGCCACGTAGAACAGACTGGGCTGGATACCAACCAAATAGGTCATCACTTGATCGATGGCAGTGGCAATTAGAAGAGCTCCCGCGAGCCATGCGGTGATCGATCTTCGATGGCACGGGAAGAGGATTTTTAGCAGGCGCCAGAACCTCCGAAAGAACAGGAAGTCAAGCGCCAGTCTGGCCATTTTGACCGGGTTTTTGCGAGAGGCACGGCCTGAAAAATAGGGAAGTTTTGAGTTGTAAAGTAGTAGGAAATATGATAAATGTCCCGGAGAAGGTATAAAGGTGGATTAATCTCGACAGCGGATTTATTTAGAAATCTTGAAATTCAGGCATATTTCAATTATTCCGGAAAAAAAACAAAGTGGAAAAATTAGAAAAAAAATCATGCATTTGGCAGGGAACTGTCACCTTTATTCTTTCGTATTTCGTCGAGCGGTATTTCTTTGTCGGGCTCCATCCTGTGTGCAAACTGGAAAGCAGTGATAGTGTGAGGACATGCGGAAATAAAAAATCAACAAAAATGAAAAAAAAAACAACAACAAGAGCATTTTTGAGAGACAAATGTGCAGTGTGGTGATAAAGTTGTACAGTTGTTACGAGCTAGTTAGCGTTAACTAGAAAAAATTGTGATATCAATAGAAAAATGGGCTAAAAAGTTCTATAAGGAAGTAATCTACTCCATATATGCAGGTATGATTAAGAAAGTATGACCATTTTGTTGGAATAAGTTCGGTCAGCTGTACATACACTTGTGTCCGCACACAGTGTAACGAGAGGAGAGTGTGGGGAAAGTGAAGCAGAAAGCCCGCGGAAAAGACAAGACACGCAGGCGTTGAAGGAAAAAGTGATGATGATGGGCGGGGAAGCAGAAGGAGCGAAGACGTTTTCTGCCTTTCGTGAGGGCTCCAGAAGAAAAATTAGAGATGACCAAGCAGTGATTCGAGTTGGAAACCGAAGATGAATAAGATGATGCACATTTTTTAGCGACATACGTTTGAGCTTTGCATTTATTATTTACTAAAACTGATGAATTATTAGTAGAAAAGCAAAAGCTTCGTCGGAAAAAGTCAAAAATTCCAGAAAAAAGACAAAAATTCGAAAAATTTTAATACCATAAGCTTGAAGGCGCACGCTGCTTTAATTAATGAGGCTTTCAGTGGAAAGAGGCAAGTCTGCCCCATTGCAATTTTAATTTTCGCGCTAAATTTTCCGGTTTTAAAAATTAACAATTAGAATTTTTACTTTTTTATATGTTATTTTTCTCATAAAAACGAAACATTATTTATCTGAATTTCTCTGAAAAACTTCTGAAAAACTCAAAATTCCGCACTCTCATTCATATTGTGACAATTTTTGTAAGCCTCAATGTGAATTTCTTCCTGAAAAATGAATTTTTTAAGCCGACGGCGAGAATCCGATCCCGCGACATCTTCGGAAGAACAATACGAAAATGAGCAGTAAAAGAAGACTTGTGGTGTCATCGGGTAAAAAAGAATCGCATTTTGTGCACGATGTTACGAAATCCTTTTTAGATTCCGACGATGATATGCCGGCAAAACCAAAACAAGAGCATAAGAAGAAAGTGGAGACTCCGGCTAAAAAGAGGGTACTTTAATTAAGAATCTCGAGAAAAATTCTATAGATATTTTTTCAGACGAAGCCTCTCGTGTTGACCGATGAAGAAGACACTTCAGAAGAAGATGAATTGATACTTGGAAATGATAAAGAGCTGAAGAAGGCGAAAAAGAGTGGGAAGAAGGCGTTGCCGCCTGGGCAACAAACTTTGAATTTTTCCAAAGCCCCAACGTCATCTGAAAAACGTGAAGAGGAGACGAAAAAGACTTACGCAAAGACCTTTGTGAACCCAGCTGATTTCTTTAAAAACTCTCCAGTTCCATCGGCTTCTAAACTTCCAAAAGTGGTTACAAAAGTCAATAAAACTGTTGAAAAGTTCTCTAAATCACCGGCAAAAAAGGTCAGCCCATCAACAAAAGAGAACACTAAAGCTAAGAAGGTGTCCGATGATGAATTCGTCGATTCCGATGACAGTTTTGACACATTCACTCCGATTACTGCTAAAAAGAAAACACCAGAGAAGAAGAAGACTCCAGAAAACAAGAAAGAACCTGAGGCGGTGAAGGTACTTCCAAAAGTAAAGGACATTGTGAAAGCAGAAGAAGAGCCCAAAAAGGAACACAAGAAATCGAAACTTCCACCTCCAAAAGTGTCTTCCGATGTATCTTCGTCTAGTCAAGTGTCCACGTCATCTGTCGAATTCTCTTCAAAGCCAAAAGGACCTGAGCCTGTACTCTCATGGGTCGACAAATATAAGCCGAAACGTCTAGGCGAACTTGTTGGCCAATTTGGTGATAAGAGTCCAATGAACAAGCTAATGGAGTGGCTGAACGATTGGGCCAAGCATAATCTTGGCGAGGGCGCCAAAATCAAGAAGCCAAAGCCTGCGCCTTGGATGGCATCTCAGGATGGAACTCCGTTCAAGGCTGCTCTTCTTTCTGGATCTCCAGGGGTTGGAAAGACGACATGCGCTTATATGGCTTGCCAGCAACTCGGTCTCAAACTTGTAGAGATGAATGCATCCGATGTTCGTAACAAGAAACATCTAGAAGCGAAAATTGGCGAGCTATCCGGATCTCATCAGATTGAAGAGTTCTTTGGCGTCAAGAAGTGCGTTCCCCAAGACAATTCGAAAGTTCATCATGTGTTGATCATGGATGAAGTTGATGGAATGTCTGGAAACGAGGATCGCGCTGGAGTGAGCTAGTTATATTGACCCCTATCATTGAAAAAAAAATTATTTCAGATCTCGGAACTCATTCAAATCATCAAGGAATCCAAAATTCCAATCATCTGCATCTGCAACGATCGTATGCACACAAAAATCCGTTCTCTGGCCAACTACTGCTACGATTTGCGTTTCCCAAAGCCACGTGTCGAGATGATTCGTTCTCGAATGATGACGATTTGCTCACAGGAGAAGCTGAAAATCACCAAAGAAGACTTGGATGAAATCATCGAATTATCGGGTCACGATGTTCGTCAGACGATATACAATCTCCAGATGAGATCAAAGTCTTCGAATGCCAAAGTCAATAAGAAGGATCTGTCTTGGGTAATTTTTCTTCTTTTTTGAGCTATTTTTATGCTTCGATTCCAGGGTCCATTCGAAGCAGCTCGACGCCTTCTGGATTCTCGAACTACGTTGATGGAAAAACAAGAAATGTTTTTCGTGGATTACGGTATCATGCCACTTTTTGTCCAAGAGAACTATCTCAATATGAAGAACGAGAAACATAAGCCACTGGAAGCGATTCGTGGACTTCGAAAGGCTTCTGATCTCATCTCCCTCGGAGATATCGTTGATCGACAGATTCGTGGAGGTGGATCATGGAAACTACTCAATGAGCAAAGTATGTTATCAGCAGCACTACCAGCAATGGCAACTGGTGGCCATCTAAAGGCCATCTTCAGTTCCCCTCGTGGCTTGGAAAGAATTCCAGTGCTGGAAAGAAGAAGAGACTTCTACAACAACTCGTACAACATACTCATCTTAGGTTTTAGCCGGTTTTCTATAAATTCTATTTTTAAATTTTCAGAGTTTCCGCTGGAACTCATTCATTCGCTACTGATTATGCTCCAATGCTTCGTCAGAAGATAACAAAACCACTCATACAACACGAAGTTGATGGAATTCCAGCTGTTATTGAGACAATGACAGAGTATGATCTGATCAAAGACGATGCAGAGGCACTCACCGAAATTGTTACCTGGCCTGGAAAAATCGATCCAGCTAGCAAGATTTTGAGCAAAGTCAAAGCTTCGTTGACTCGTACTTTGAACAAAACCAACAGAATGCTACCGTACTCGATTGATGACGTGGCAAAAGGAAAGCGGAAGGGAGTGAATGCGATTGGAATCGAAATGGATGCAGAAGGAAATCTAGTGGAGCAATTCGAAGATGAGGATGGAGAGTCCGATAATGAGGAGGAGAAGCAGCCGACTACTACAGAAGTTATTGTGAAAACCAGAGTTGGTGGATCAGCTGGGTCATCCAAACCAGCTCGAGGAGGTCGTGGTGGAGGTCGTGGTGGAAGAGGAGGCAGCAAGAAGTGATGAACAGATTGATTTTTTTCTCTTTTAATTATTATTTAACTCAAATATTTTCACCCCATTGTCTCGTTTTAACTTCCCGATTACTAGAATTGCACATTACTGTTAAATGCTTATTCTGAACGAAAAATTCATTAAGCAATTCATTGGAATGGAGTTTGAATTATTTTTTCATTCAAAATATGAGAAATTCGAAATTTCGAACGGGAAAATTAATATCTTCGAGAAAAATCGTCTTTGGATTCAGTCACAATTTCTGTTTTTCATCGGATGGTTTTTTAAAAACTAGATTCAAAATTAAAAAAAGATATATTTATTGAAAATATCAGTTTTTCAAACTGTTCGCAGTTCAATTGAAACAGTTCCTGTCTGCTCCCCACTCTGTTTCGACTGGTATAGTCGATTTCTGAGGACCGGTAGAAAAATGATAATGGCGACAGGATCAAAAAATGGAAATGCTGATAGAGCAATGGTTCCACTGTAGTTGTAGACTCTGGAAAATTCGGTTTTCAGTTCGAAAGTTAACAAAGAATCATTCTTTAAGTATAGATTCACCTTCCCATACTAAAATTGAAAACTGGAGCAAACCAGGCAATCAGCGAAGGTGTGAAGCTTATACAAATTGGGATCACAGTTTGAACAGTCAAGGCGATCAATAGTTTTCTCTGCAACGTGGCAGTGTCCGCACTCATTGTTACATGGGCTTGAGCATCGTTCAGTTTCTTCATTGTTTTGTATCCAAAAATAAAATAAACAGATATAGACCCAACTGACATCAACATCAGCAAGACTACACCTGTCCAACTTCGGAAGACCTCTTCAGGATTTGACTCCTAAATTTTTGAGACAGTTTTTGAAGTTTTCATAAGTACTTGAATTTCGAAAACCTACATTATAGATAGTTGATAACATGTTATAGTCATTTGGATTCACACCGTACTCCTCTTGAAGATGCTCTTTGATATAGACCATTACGGTGTCCGATGTAGACAGCCATTTCTCACAAACATATTGGAAAAATGCAAAATAAAAAATACACAATGCGAATGAAGCAGACATGAACCGATGGAACCCTGTGCTGATTAATTTGGATCTTAGGATTACCAAGTATCGAAAAACGAAGTGACTGATGAGAATAGCATAGCTGCATGCTAGCATTGAACAACGGGCGGTCAGAATGTAGTGATTGAAACTTGAAGCTTTCTCAAAGAATCCATCGGTCAGAATCAGATAAAAACAGTAGCGATAGCAGGAGATTCCCTAGAATATCAATAAGTGAAATATCGTATTTGCTCTGATGACAGCCCACCCAAACCGTTAACTTTAAGCTCAATTATCTCGGTATTTCGGAGAGATATCAGAAGCTTGTCAACTGATAAATTATTTATCTTATTATCAGCCATGTTTTATCAATTGACAATTTTCTGATATCTTTCACAGGAACCAAGACAAAATTGGTTCAAAGTGCAAGTATAGGGTAACCTTCTATTAGAGTGTTTACGGTATTCTAGATGTGTTCAAACAGTTTCATCATAAAAACCTACAATTGGAACAGCCATCTCCAAAACAGAATAAACGACATTAAAAATGGCAAAGTACAGTAGCAAAAAGCGATAGTTCCCCAGGCAGACTGACTTTCCAGTGAACACCAAATAAACGAAAATTGGGTTCACTACAAAAGCCAGACATCCAAAAACTTTTGGAATATTGTGATGAACCCAACCAATGTACATTTTTAAAAGGGGAATTTGCAGAAAGAAGGAGAACTGCTGAAAATGGAATGGTTCTCGTTATCGCTGGACAAAAATATATAACGGGGGATGTATAAAGTTTGTTTTTAAGTTTGGCATCGAGTCCATATGGGATTGCAATGACGTACGAGGTCTTCAGTATTCCGAGACAAACTGTCTGTTTTGGCGTTATAGAGATGTGTCTGGAAAGAAAAACATTTCCGTGGGATATGGCTGGAAATTGAAATAACTACCGGAACACCTGTAATGGAAGGGGCCCCTTACTTCCAAATTTGAACCCATTTATCTCGGTTTCTGTCGACGATATGAAAAAGTTGTCAACTGATAAATTGTTTGTCATAATATTAGAAGTTTTTTGTCAGTCGACATATTCTTTATATCTTTCACAGGAGCCGATATAAATCAGCTCAAAGTGAAAATTTTGATGGGATCATCATATTAATTTACAGTAAATCGAAGTTGTCAACTATGGGCCAATATATCTCGTTTTCTGTAAAAGATATTTAAGAGCAGCCAACTGACCAAATGTTTATCATAATTTCAAAAATTGTTGTCAATGTACCACTTTGTGATATCTCTTATTGGAACAAAGATAAATAGGCTAAACGTTGAAAGTTAAGTGTGGCGTTCTATCTGGGATTACGGTATTTCGAAAATTTTCAAAAGGTGGTGTATGAATAAGACGCTAGGAAATTTAAAAAAAAATTCCGTTTCAAGGGATATTCCTGATTTTTACACAGATTTATGAGCTTTATCCTATCTGGCACATTATCAATCAGCATGTTTTGGCCGATCGAAAACAGCCCAGTCAGCTAAAATTTCATCAATCGAGTTGGAGGATTTTTTTTATTTCGGATTTTTTATTTCTGGAGAGTTCTCTGAAAAACTCTGAAGCACGTGCTTGCTAGAAGCCCAACTTCGCGGAGCAGTACATCGTATTTGCTGTAATAGAAGCCCACCATACACCTCAACTTTGGGCTCAGTTATCTCGGAGTTCTATGAGATATATCAAAAATGTGTCGACTGATAAAATATTTATCATAATATCTCCAATATTTTATCAATTGGCAAATTTCTGGTATCTCTCATAGCAACCGAGATAATTGAGCTCAAAGTTAGCTTTTTTGGTGGGCTTCTATTAGATAATTTACCGTTGGATCCATCTTCCAGATTTCAATCTTCTTTGAGTTTTTAAAAAATGACTTCTGAATATTGTTGTTAGTCATCTCAGTCCTCTATTGTTATTTCATTTTCAAACATGAAACCGTATTCTCAAAATTTCACAATACCATTCCCAAAAACAACATTTTGTTTGTGTCCATTTTTTTCTTTTGTAGTAGTCACCATCTGTTTCTTTTCTCTTCCTTTTCACATCTCAATTTCCTATTTTATTCTCAAAAAATCAAGAGACAGCAGACACTAAAAGCCCGCTGATCATCAGCAGGTTAACTTGACATTTCATCCCGTCTGCGTCTCCATCCCAATCAACACTATTTCTTCATCCCTCGTACAGACCCATTTTCCTGGTGGGCGTGTTCCTTTTCATTCCCGAGAGTGCGCACCATTCCTTCTTCCACAATACATTTTCTTCTACTTCTTTTCTTTTTTATAGTATTAACACATTTCCAGAAGTTATGAAATATCTGGGGATAACGATTCTCATCCTAGCAGCACTCGGAGCAGTCGAATCCAAGGTAAGTGGTTTTAGATTCAGGTTAAAAAGAAGAAATTCATTTTCAGGTGAAATGTCCAAGAAGCGCATTTGGAGTTGAGTTGGAGTGTGCATTCGAATGTTGCACATCATTTGAAGGCCGTGATCAAGGGTACTATTGTTGTGGAATTGAGGAGAAGCAGCTTTTGGAGAGAGGACATCATCATGCTGTTGGCGATGGAGTTCCCAGATCCGATCGATTCGTTGCATATGGAAACACTTTCCAGTGAGTTTTTTCACTTTTTGGATTTTTCCAGAACCTAAAAGATGTATCGATATGCCTAGAATTAAATCACTGGGAAAGTTTTGGTCTCAAAAAGTAACGTAAAACATTGAATAGACTGCCCCCCCCCCCACTGTCAAGTTTGAACTCAATTATCTCGGCTCATATGCAAGATATCAAAACATTCTCAATTGATCAAATGTTGGTGATATTATTATAAACAATTTATCAGTTGACAACTTTTTGATATATTTCATAGAAACCGAGATAATTGAGCTAAAAGTGGACGATTTGGGTTGGCGTCTATTTGAGAAAATACGGTATTCAGCTTATATTAGAAAATTGTGGTTAAAAAAAAGTGATGTTTTGAAAGTTTTCAAAACACTTGTATCCTTTTTTCAAGATCTCCAAATCCTCTCCAAAATGGGGAATATCTCTGGAGACGCCTAAATATATCTTTTTTTTTATATGTTGTACATAAAAATCTTAATACCGTATTCGTTTTTTTCTTAATACCGTATTCACTCTAATACAAGTTTTCCTATATGTCCACTTTGAGCTCAATTATCTCAATTCCTGTAGAAGATATCAAAAATGTGTCGACTGATAATATTTCTCCAATATTTTATCAATCGACAAATTTGTGATATCTCTCATAGGAACCGAGATAAATGGGCTCAAAGTTGAAGGTTTCCTTCTTCTGGTAGAGAAAATACGGTAACGTTTGATCCCCTAATTTTCTTCAAATTCAATATTTCCAGAATCGATTACACTATGCTTGTGATCGGTCTAATTGTGTCTATCCTTGTCTCAATCCTTCTCTCCTTCTTCTGCTGCCTTCTCTGCAATGGATGTTGGCTTCATCGTCGTCGTAATCCACAACAGTATGAAAGTGTGCATCATCGCGACAATGGATGGTACCCGATTTGTTGTGAGTTCTTAGGCTGCTTCGCTTACTAGTAGTACTTTGGCACACACTCCCACTGTCCTCCTCTCCTTTTCTTTTATTGTATATCTCATATTGTCAAGTGAGTTTTCTTTTTACTGTTTGCTCTTTTTCTTCTTTTTTCTTTTCGATTTTTTTTCTGTTTCGTCGTCGCAAGCTTTTAGTGATGCTTGGCAGGACGAATTGCAAAAAATGGAAGGGAAAAAAAGAAGAAAAGGAATAAGAGAAGAGAACAGTTGACTAATCACCATCAAATGAAATTGAAAGTTCTTGGGCGTTTCCCTCTCCCTTGAAGACGTGTTTCTGATGGTTTTTCGTCGTCATGTGATGGTCAAAAAGGAACGAGAAAATGATTAAGAAAAATATTGTGTATCAATTACCTATTAGTTTATATTTTACAGGCGGTTTCGGAATTCCAATGGGAACTGTTGTCTTCTCGACACACCCACCACAATACAGAGAGGATAGTGAGATGTATGGAGGATCATCAATGTCCAGTCTGCCAAGTTCGAAACAACGGTTAGTAGGGAATCACAGAAAAAAGAAGGGAAAAATGTATTCATAATTGGGGAGGACATAAACGTTTTCAAATCGAATGTGAATTATCAGAAAAACTCCAAATGCATGGGTTAATGTTCTACAACAGATTCCTGTTGTTCTTGCAGAATTTCGAAACCTGCAAACATCCTATCAATTGATTTTGTTTGGAAATTAACCATAAAACCTGTAATAGAAGGCACCCTAATTTTCAACTTTGTGACAATTCATCTCGGTTCCTGTCAAAGGTATGAACAAGTTGCCAACTGATAAATTGTTTATCATAATGTCAGAAGTGTTTGGTCAGTTGACACATTTTTGATATCTTGAATAAGAGCAAACTAGGCAGTGGTACGGTCCTTCTATTAGAGGTGTCACGGTACTCAAAAATTCAATCTCGAGTAAATCGATAGCAGATTTCCTTAATTTTGAGTTTCTGCTAAATTTTGAAGTAGAAAATATCCTGTCAGCTTAAATTTTTTGAAAATTATGTCTCAAAGTGTCTCAACCGTTTTTGAACTTAAAAATTTTTTTGATACATTTAACAGATACCGAGAAAAATTGGATCAAAGTTTATAATTAGGGTGCCCTTCTATTAGATTGTTCATGTTGAAACATTTGGCTCTAGTCGGTCATTTTGGTCCTTAGAATTTTTGGACCTTAGATTTATTCTTGAATATTAAAAATTCCGAAAAAATCAAAAAACTATTTATAGAATCCCGAAAAATCTGATAGTTTTGAAAACTTTGAATTCAAATTTTCCAAAGAAAAAATTTGCGAAAATATCTTTTTTATCGAATTTTCTCTGCTATGCTATCAATTCCAATCGTTTTTTATTTTTGGATATTTCCAAATTTTCTTGAAATTTCTGAAATTTCTGAAAACTTCTTTTTTAAATCTGAATTGAATAAAGTTTTCGAATTTTCGAAATAATCGAATTTTATAGCTTTTATTTGGACTTTTTTCTTTTTTTGGAATTTCTGCTATTCCTAGAATTTTCGAAGAACCTAAAAATCTAATTGTGAGGACCGAAATAACCTACTAGAGCTATAAAATTGCCCTTTTTATAGATTTTTCAAAGTTCGAATTTCAACATCATTTGTGATATTGGTTTTTCCATCTTCCATATCGTAAACTTTGCATTTTCACTTTCCATTCTGTTTTAAGTTAATTTCCAGTCACCTAAGAATATTTTTTTCATAAAACCCCCAGTATTCTATAAAAGTTTTCAGCGTCCGTTTCAACCCGGATGGAACACCAAGAGGCGTCTTGAAAAATGGACATGAAGGAGGACAACCACAACAATACTACCGAGACTAATCTAGAGAAATTCACCTAGAATTCAAAAAAACTCTACTTTCCATTTCCATTCCCTAATTTTTTCACGTTTTCTCTGTTTTTCTCTTCTATCATTTTTCTCTCTTTTCAAAAGCTTTCACGGTGCAATCGAATCCCTCCAAAAAATTGTGTAGAACACACTCTTCTGGTTTTTAATAAATTTCAGCCAAAATTTAAAATTCAAAACAAAAAAGCGTTTTGGAACATTTCATTCAGTTTTGAACAACATAGAAAATCTGTGTCGCAATTGAGCAAACTTAAACGTTTTAGAGACGAAGCGTTCAAAATTTTCAGAAAAGAAAGAAGAAGGTAAAATCAGTCAAAAAACCCGAAATCGGACTGAAAATAATCGAGAATACAAAAAATGGGAGAAGAAAAAAGCTAGAAACCGGTAGACGAAAGAGAAGAAGTGGGGGAAGAAGGAGAAGTGGGATGAGCATTTGTAGAAAAAGAGCAGCAGGATTTCCAAGAAAGGGCTTAGCCTATCAAAAACAACCAACTTAAAACCAGGAAAGACACTATAGATAATGGGGAAGTGAGAGACGCAGAGTTTCCATTACAGTGGTCTGCATAGCATGTGCAGACGTCGATTGTCGAGTCGTCTGCTGATTCTCCGCCAAGTTTGAATAATTCTTTTTTCCTGGAAAGTGGAGAAATTGGGTGATTTAAATGAAAGTAAGAAACTTCGAAAGTCTCAAAAAGAAATCTATAGTTTATTTAACTGTTCTCAAAGTTTCAAAAACCATTAAACAAAAATACCGGAATGGCACATTATTGCATATGAATTGAGATAATTGAGTACAAAATTGACGGTTCGGGTGACCTTCTATTAGTGTTTACAGTAATTGTCCTTGAGTTTTCCCAGAATAGATCTTTGTTTTTGACACATTTTGTTCTGTTTTAAATACCCCGATGTCGAATTCAATATTTAGAATTTTCTAGATTTTCAGCTTCCTCGTGACATATTATTCCTGACCAGCCTTCTGTTTGCAGCGCCTCCGGCGCTTCACAATTCAAGCATTTTCAATTATTCGTCGCTCCACTCCTCACTTTTCGATTTTTTTTCTCACGCTGTAGAACATCTACGCCCTCCCTCCCCTCTCCTGGTGTGGGCCTCATGGCGCAGCTGTGTACGTGCGCGGCTATTGTGCGGAAGGCCGCGGGTTCGGTTTTGGTGGCGGGCAACCTTTCAATCAAAAACCCAAAACCGGACAGCCGGACACTAGGACCAACAGACGCGTCTAGCGTTTTATATATAAGAAAGATAGACGGGGTACAAAAAATGGTGAACTACAGTCGTAAGAATTCGTTAGTGCTGCAAAATTACAGAGATTTCTGAAGAATCAAATCAATCAATCATCAAGATCAAGAATCAAGAAACAAATCAAGAATCAAGACTTGTATGTTATATATATATATATATATATATACGTTTTATATATAATATAAACCTTTTTTTTCAAAAAGTAACAATTAACGGATCCTGTGTGATCGAATTTCCTACAAAAATACAGGAAAATCTGCGCTATTTCAGATGACCATATTTCTATCCCATCTAAATACAAAAACATATTTTTCAGTTGACTTTCGGCCAATTTGGTCATTTTCAGGAGTCTGAAGCCCAGCTGTCAAGTTTCCGATCGCTTTGAAAACTTTGGAGGGTGTAAAACAGACCTACATAGATTGAAACTTTGCATTCAAATAATTTTTTGAAAATTCCTTTTATTTCCGATTTCCGGAAGACATCCCCTTTCAGACCAGTTTTTTAATACTGAAAAGTTGAAAAAATCCGATATCCAACTTTTCTTACCTATAAGGTCGACAAGAATCTCTATGCATCCACCGATACCATGTCACAATTGTCTGATTGAAACCGCTTATCAGTACATCACTCATACACCCTCGTATGTATCCCTTTATTCGGACTCCTGAAAAATAATCTGGTAATTTCTTTCTAGATTTTTGTTCATACCTGCAATGTTTGGTTGCTCAAAAAGCGAGACACATATCGTCGGGCAATGGACGATCGGGACTCGTCCTTCAGCAATTCGGTCATCGTTACAGTCGTCTAGAAAAGAAAAACATAACGATTGAATTATTAAACTTGAAATTTGGTACCTGTGAAGTTCCTAGGTTTTTTGTAAATATGTGATAGGGAAGGCCAAACCGCTTCGTATAGTTTGGACATGCAGGAGTAGCATCGAGCGGTATCTGGAAAAAATTAATTTTTAAAAAATATTATTGGAATATGAACCACTGAACTAAACTAAATCATTACCACTTGTCAAAAAAGGTCCAACGGCCGTATTTTGTGCCCAACTTCTTTGATTGAGAAGCGAGAGCATTAGAAGCAGTAGAACTGGAGATAAGATCGAAGGCATCGATCATCGAAATACACGAATTTGCATTTGGGATGCTAAAGAGCCTTTTCTTTTTTCTTTTTTTGGTTGCGAGGCGACAGAGAAGAAGATTGAATAATAATTGGGAGGGCAAGATGCAACTTTTAATGGGGTTTAGTGGAAAATGAATAGGAAAATGTGAAAAAGAAGAGCCAATGATGGGAAATACGGATTTAATGGGCTCTATCCTCCCCCCAAGAAACTTTCCCACACCGGATCAAAAAAGCGCCCGCGGGGAGCCTTATACTTTTTGACTTCTGGAGAGCATGTTGGGAAGTTTAATAGTTTTTCGAAAGATGAATTATAACAAATTGGATGAGCGGAGAAAGATTGGGATGAGGGAATAAGAACCTGCACACACAGATGTCTTATTATTGCGAAAAAGTGTACTAAATGAAATGATCTCGCATAAGAGAGTCGAGATGGGGGAACGGGCTAAAATATTGGAAAGGTGGAATGAGTAGGTGTAATAGTTTTTCTAAAGTATGGAGTTACTTTTGGGAGTTTTTGATAGATTAAGGTCCGATTTTTGTGAAGCTTGGAAGCCAACATGTTTCAGAAGGGCCCCCTATCGTTTAACTTTGAGCCGATTTTCCTCGGTTTCGGTCAAAGATATAAGAAAGTTGTCAACGGATAATCATCATATTATCAGAAGTGTTTTATCAGTTGACACATTTTTGATATTTTGCATAGGGGCCAAGAAAATTTAGTACAATCTTCCCAGTGTACTTCTATCACAGGTTTAAAGTCTATTCGCATGGGACAGTTGAAAATAACTTCAAAAGGAATTGTGTGCCAATTTTTGAAATAATATTTGAAATCTTTTTTCCAGATATGGTCATTTTTGGGACATTTTCAGAATTTGAGTTTCTGAAAATCAGGTGCAATTTGGAAAGCGAGAAAAGAATTGATGGTAGGCGATTTTGTTTACAACTTGTTTTTAAAAAATTTGTTTTGATCTAGAAAAATTGAGAAAGAACGACTAAAGATAGGCTTTTGTGATTCTAAATTTTAAAAACTGTAATCGGCAGCTGAGTTAAGGTAACAAATTTCACTAAAAGCGAATATTCTCTAGTTAAGGAAATCGCTGGTTTGACATCAATTGTCTTCATATCTGCTAGAGGTGCCAAATATTTTCAATTAATATAAATGCTTAAAATTATATTTTACAAGTTTTATTAGTTGATAGGTTTTTGAAATCTCCATTCGGAATTGAAATATCGTAAACACTATAACAGAACGCAACTCTTGATTTTTAACTTTGAGCCATTCTATCTTGGTTTCTGTGAAAGTTATCAAAAAGGATTAACTAACGAAATATGTTTGATATTATAATTGAAATTTTGTCAGCTGACTACTTTTTCATATCTTTGACAGGAACCGAGAAAAATTGCAAAGTTAAAAGTTAGGGGGATTATTCTATTAGAGTTTTTACGGTAAATCTCAAGAAACATTCATGGTTTAAAAAAATTAATTCCTACAAAAAACGGGTGTTCATGTTCTCTGATTTCTTGTAAACTTGTTAAGAGTGTTCCAAGAACGTTCCAAATGAAATTCAACTACTTTCTATTGTCGCATGGAAAAAACTGAGACCTGAAAATTTTCGCGGGCAACGCTCGTGTCGATTTACGAGGCATCGCTTCGAAAACGGATACTGTAAATAACACATTAATTTATGTGAATTTAGTGGGATTTTCTGAACAAAATTGTGTTTTCTTGGTATGAAAATGATCGCTAGCATCTCTAGAATCCATTTTTCAGCAAAAAGCTGAACTTAACGGCGGAACTGACTCGAGCGAGCCGAAAGTCTGAAATATTACGTTTTTGCCGCGCTTTTTCGTAGATTAAAAATATGCGACAGTTTTCAAATTTTCAGGTGTCACTTTTTTTTAACTCGACAATACCTACAACAGAAAAAAAAACAAGGTTGAGCTGATTGAGTTTTTCCTCATTCCTTCTCAAATTTTACATCAAAAGCCAAAAAGCCACGAAGGTGATAAAAGTGACACTTTGACGTGAAGAGATAGTGAAAGAAGAAGAAAAAGAAGAAGGGGGTCCTCTCCTGAAGGTGATGATGATGATGAGGAAGAGAAAAGACAGCTGGTATCATCTTCTTGATGATGGCAGTTGGGGCGTGCTCTACTCGAAGAAAAGGGAGGAGAATAGATTAGATGATCAAATCGATTGTTTTGCGATTGCTCTCTCTTTTGATCTGTCTCTCTGTGCTCTTCCTCTCTCTGTCTTCTGTGGCCGAAATGAAACGAAAGTGGGTGAGCACTTAATTTATGGGAGCAGCAGATTTTTGAAATGAGATAAGAGATGGTTCTGGTGGTTGAGGTAATTGGTTGGAAGGGAAGGAAAAGAAAAGGTGTACGAGGGGAATTTTTGTGAATGAACTTGTAGCAGGTTAGAGGCATATGAGAAAAATTGAATTAGTCAAGAACTTAGGTTTGTACTTTCAGAATTAGTCATTATTGATTTTGTCAGAATGATCAATCAGAAAGGATAAACCCAAATCGAATAAAGAACCCTCTTATAACTGTCATTCAAATATCGATTTTTGATCTTTCGATAAATGTGTTGTTTGTCAGTTGAAGGCTTCTAGTTCCTACTAAGAAGCTGTTTAAAATCAGGGCATAAAGTACTCACCGTAAAACCTGTAAAAGGAGGGTCCCCAAAACTTCTAACTTTGAGCCCATTTTTCTCGGTTCCTGTCAAAGATATAGAAAAGTTGCCAACTGATAAATTATTTATCATACTATCAGAAGTATTCTGTTAGTTGGCACATTATTGATATCTTGCATAGGAATTGAGATAATTGAGCTTAAATTTGACAGTCTGGGAGCTATTACGGGTTTTACGGTACTACGTAAGCCCACCCTATATGTTTACTTTAAGTCGGTTCCTGTAAAAGATACTAGAAAGCATTTAACTGACAAAATGTTTATAACAATATGATAAATATTTTATAATTTGACCGGTTTTCGATATCTCTAATGAGAACGGAGGTAATTAAGTTTAAAGCGCACACATAACGTGGGCTTCTATTAGAACAAGTACGGTACATATTTGCAAACCTATTTTTATCAAAATAGAAACATTATAGAAACTTTTGGAATATTTTTAGTTGATTCCAAAATCCAGTTTTTTTTACGAAAATACTCGATTTCTGTTTAGTGAAAGAACTAAAAAAAACCTAGACCTGGACATTTATAATAATGTCAAACTATGATTTCATTAGGAAAGTAATTTATGCCAAAATGAAATTATGTCTCGAACTTGATTCGTCAGTTTTTTGTGAACTTAAAGCTTAGGGTTTGAAAAATCTGTCCAAAAAGGCTTTGTAAAAGTTTCACAAGGAAGCAAACAAAAGATATGATTTTAGACTAGAAGACGAAGAATATGTTTTGGGAGGGTAATAAACGGAGGAAACGAAAGAGAAGAAAAAATTAAATTTGGACAGATTTTCCCCCATTTTGTTAGAGTTATGAAGGTTTCTGAATATGTACCACCACATAAATTCAGTGACTAGACATTTTTGCGGGGGGAATTCCTTATATATCGTGACATCTAATCATTGATAATTTTCTGGAGAAAATGATAAATGAAGAAAGATTGACGTAACAGAAAATAGAAGAAAGTATATAAAAATGAAAAAGTGCATCATACGCGAATGAGGAGGAGCAAGAAGAAGAAGCACCTAATACAACACAAAAGACACTGTTGGCTGAAGTGGAAGTACTTAAAAAGAGTAAAAGAAAGAGAAAGAGTTTCAAATGGGGGAAAACCAAAATGGAGAGAACTTTTGTGATTGCTCTTGCTTAATGAGTCAGGGTCTTCCCGAATTTTTTTTCGAGATTTTAAGAGACACAAAAAGTGACTATAGTGAAAAATGAAAGGGGAAAAAAGACGTTATGATGATATCTTCTCTGAAATAAGCTCTAAATCTCTTAAAACAGAAACGAAAACATTGCATTATTTATTGAACGGGGATGGATTAGAGAAGGAAATGAGAAGTGTAATGATCATTTTTTTTGTCGATCTATTTTTGAGAATTCAGAAATCTAATTAGAGGATCTAAGATTTGCAAAAAATCGTAAAATTCCGAATTCATTACACAGAAAAAATTTTGTAAATTTTAGCATTTTTGTTCGAATTTCGAGCTGCATAACTTTTTGAGGATGAATTTTTCAGCTTGCATTTTGATACTATTGTATTTCTTGGTATCGTTTTCCTCTTAAAATATCATTTTGTGAGCAAAATTTTTAAAAAACAAAATTTACGATTTCAAAAATAGCTCAGAAACCCCGGTTTTTCCAAAAATCGCTTATCTATGGTTACTCTCAAATTTGAAATTTTCGCAAAACAGTATTATTTTCCGCGCCGTATTTCCTTTAATGCTTCAAAATATCAAAATTTCGACTTCGTTTTTTAGATGCCTGGGAGAAATGGTCAACCAGAGAAATATTTGCGAAACTACCGTAAATGCTCTAATAGACCACCACCCGGTCCGTCAACTTTGAGCCTATATATCTCACTTCTTTTGAAAGATATAAAAAAGTTGTCAACTAATAAAATGTTTATCATGATATTAGCAACATTTTATTAGTTAACTACTTTTTGACATCTCTCACAGAAAATGAGATACATAGACTCAAATTCGACGATTCGGGTAGCGTTCTATTAGAGTTTTTACGGTACTTCTAACATTTTCTGAGTTGATTATTCTTAAATATCTCCTTCAGTACATACCGTAAACCTGTAATAGATGAGCTCCCACACTGTCAATTTTGAGCTCAATTATCTCATTTCGTGTGAAGAATATCAAAAAAGTGTGAAGAATATCAATAAAATTTTTTCAGAATATCAAAAATATTTTGTCAGTTGACCAATTTTTGATATCTTTTACAGAAAACGAGATATATGGGTTCAAAGTGGACGCATTCTATTAGAGTTTACGGTATTTTGAGTTGCAATATGCA